CACGGGAAACTCAGATCCGTCGGATCACTTGAGCGCCTTCATGCTCAAGATGCAGCTGATTAACGCCTCAGACGCAGATCTGTGCAAGGCATTTCCAGTCACCTTCGGGGGGCAGTGCAGAAGCTGGTACGCGTCCCTACCAGTCGGGATAATCGAGAACTTCGAGCAGTTCGCCACTCTTTTCTCTTTGAAGTTCGCATCTCAGCGCAGGAGGCAGCTCACGGTCTCCGCCCTCATCAATTGTAAACAAGGAGAAGAGGAAACTTTGGCTGACTTCTACGATCGATGGAATACAATAGCTTGCGAGGTCCAGGACGTCTCAACCAGCGTGGCCGCCGGGAAGCTGAGAATGTCGACGCATAGCCGGGAACTAAAGAGGTCTCTCATCAAAAAAGAGCACAACATCTAGTCATGGCAAGATCTAGTCCGCGTGGTACGAAAGGCCATCTTCTTGGAAGAAGCGCTTAACGCCAAAGAAGGCGCAAAGGGGGCACCAGCATCGTCAAACAAACCGGAAAAAGGAAGGAACGGGTCGCCAAAGCGAAGAGGGCGCACGCCCGAGCGACGAAACTACAAGCCAGGTTCAACAACAGGGACGGAAGGTGTGAGGTTTTCGCGTCAGAAAAAGAGGACGACGGACGCCGCGGCAAAACACGGGAAGCACGTCCCCGCCAAAGGAGGGACGACGACCAAAAATGGTGCGACTAGCATCAGCTACCGACTCACGACACCACAGAGTGTCGGGAGTTCAAAGCCAGCCTCAAGTACCTAGCCCCGGGAGATCTGAAAAGCCGCCTGGATACACAGGCGCGCCCCAGGGAGAGAACAGAGGAAAAGGACAGGTCGCCCAGTCCAAGGAGAAGATCCAGCACGCCCAAACGTCGGAGATCCCGGTCGCCAAGGAGGGAGCGAACCCCACGCAGGGAGCGCTTGCCCCCGTCGCCGAGGCACGCCCCTCCTCATCGTCATCCGCCTCGAGAAGAGGAAGAGGGTGTCGAAATAATCACCATCGCCGGAGGACACAAGCATCCTCGGACAGAGGGGGACCGCTTGGTGCAGTGCATGAATGTGCACAAGAAAGAGCAAGTCGAGATCAGTTTCGCACCCTCTGAACTGGCTCCCGAAGAATGTGGAGAAGACCCGCTGGTCATTTCTTTCCGCACGAAGAAGTTCAAGGTCACCCGGGCCTTAGTTGATAACGGAAGCTCAGCAGACATCCTGTTTTACTCCACGCTCAAGAGCATGAAGAAAGGACTACAAGACCTCAAGCCATCCACGACCAGCCTGGTAGGATTCTCCGGCTCCAAAGTCAGGGTTCTTGGTTCCATCACTCTCCAGACAATCGGGGGCCCAGAGGTGACGAAGACGCGCCTCATGGACTTCCATGTAGCGGACTGCCCCTCCGCCTACAATGTCATATTGGGGCGCGGCTTCCTGTCAGCCTTCTCGGCGGTCCCTTCTACCTGCCATCAGATGCTTAAGTTCCCCGCTAAAGGCAGGATAGGGCGCGTCCTTGGCGACTCCCAGCAAGCCAAAGAGTGCTACCAGGATACCATCAGGAACTTGGAAGTCAACCAAGTGGACACAAGGGTAAGTCATCCGCGCCCCGAGGCAGCCGAGGAGGACGTCGCGGTCGTGTTGGACAACGACGAGCCAGAGAAGAAAGTTAGAATCGCAGCTCACTTGGCGGAGGAGCAGGCGCGAGAACTCTTGTCCCTCCTTAGGGAATTCAAAGATCTATTTGCTTGGACGTCGGAGGACATGCCAGGCGTCCCGCGGGAGCTGGCAGAGCACTCCCTGTCAATAAAAAACAAAGCACGGCCAGTACAGCAAAGGAGGAGGAACGCCTCCCTCGAAAAACAAATGGCATTGGAAGAGGAGGTGAAGTCCTTGCTGAAGGCAGGGTTCATCAGAGAAGTAAAATACCCAACTTGGCTGGCCAACCCTGTCTTCGTGCGAAAGGCGTCTGGCCTTTGGCGAATGTGCATAGATTTCACAAGCCTCAACGCGGCCTGACCCAAAGACGCATATCCCCTCCCCAGAATCGATCAGCTGATCGATGCAACCGCAAATCATGAAACCCTGAGTTTCCTAGACATGTTCTCAGACTACCACCAAATACGCCTGTCAGAAGAGGACCAAGAGAAGACCGCGTTCATGGCGCATATGGGAAATTTCTGCTACACAGTCATGCCTTTTGGTCTGAAGAATGCGAGTGCGACGTACCAGAGGATGATCGATACAGTGTTCCAGAAACAGTTGGGCCGGAATGTGGAAGCCTATGTCGACGACGCCCTAGTCAAAAGCAAGAGAGGGGCCGATCACTTGGCCGACCTAAGGGAAACGTTCGAAACGCTCCGAAGGGAGCGCCTCCGGCTGAATCCGCTGAAGTGCGTGTTCGGAGCAAAAGCGGGAAAATTCTTAGGATTCATGATCACCAACAGGGGCATAGAAGCAAACCCAAAGCAAATTGAGGCAATACTCAACCTGAAACCGCCACACACGGTAAAAGAAATCCAGGTGTTCAACGGAAAGATGGCCGCCCTGAGCCGCTTCATCCCGCGGTCGGCGGACAAGTGTTCGCCTTTCTTCCAAATGTTGAAGAAGTCTGTGTCCCGATTACAATGGGGACCTGAATGCGACAAAGCCTTCTTTCAGTTGACGGAACAGTTGGTATCTCCTCCCGTCCTTAGCGCCCCCCTCCAATTCGAGTCCCTGTATCTGTACCTGGCGGTTTCGGACCAAGCGGTTAGTTCAGCCCTAGTAAGAAGGGACGCCGATGGCACAGACCATCCCGTATACTATGTCAGTAAAGCCCTCCTGCCAGCTAAAAGGCGATATATGCCAATTGAGAGGGCGGTACTAGCGGTCATCTCCGCAGCGAGAAAATTGCGCCCTTACTTCCAGGGGCAGCCAATTACTGTCCTGTCCAACCTACCCTTAAAAAAGATACTCAAAAGTTTGGACGCATCAGGAAGGATGACTAAGTGGGTGGTCGAGCTCAGCGAGTACGACATCACGTACGCACCGCGTCCTTCCATAAAGGGGCAGGTGCTTGGGGATTTCGTAGCAGAAGGCTTTAGCCTCGATGTCACCGAGGCTGAAGGAGGAATTGAAGTGTGGCGCTTGTTCGTGGACGGAGCCGCCGGAAAAGGCGGAGCAGGTGCTGGAATTGTGCTCGAATCGCCCCGAGGAGTCATACACGAATTCTCCCACATATTTCAGGAGTTAAAGACCAACAACGTAGCGGAGTACGAAGCCCTCTTGAGCGGTCTCAGAATCGCCATGGGAATGGGCGCCACACGCCTCCACATCTGCTCCGACTCCCTATTGGTAGTCAACCAAGTCCTGGAAAACTACGAAGCGAAAGAAGAGGCGCTTGCAAAGTTAGCCAACGAGGTAAGAGGCGTCCTCTCACAGTTGGAGGAATGAAAGCTAGAGCATGTCAAGCGGGAAGACAACCATCACGCGGACGCCTTGTCCAAGCTGGCCACGGCCATGGACTTCGAAGGTGATCGGTAAGTCACCATTACCAAAGAGGCCCCGCCAGTGAGGGGGTAATGGCCATCGAAGAGGGAGCAGGCGATTGGCGCTCTCCTATCGTCGAGTATTTGCAGACGGACGTTCTGCCAAGTGATGAAACCCAAGCAAAGCTGATCAAGCGGAAGGCCGCCCATTACAGCATGGTGGAAGGGCATTTACACAAGAGGTCATTCTCAGGCGTCTATCTGAAATGCTTGGGCCCTGCAGAGGCGGAATGGATTGTCAAGGAGATATATCAGGGCACGTGCGCTTCTCATGCAGGTCCAAGAGGCCTCGAAAAGACAATCCTTTTAGAAGGCTACTACTGGCCAACGGTGAAGAAGGATGCTGAAAGGGCAGTCCGTGCGTGCCACGAATGCCAAATTCACGCCAGCAAGCAGCACCTACCCAGCGCGGAACTGAAGAGCATAACAAGCCCGTGGCCGTTTGCACAGTGGGGACTGGACCTGTTAGGTCCTTTCCCAACCGCCCCCTTGGGCAAAAAATATATGGTGGTGGCGGTCGATTACTTCACGAAATGGCTAGAGGCCGAGCCGCTGGACACAATCACTAGTGCCAAGATCCAGAAATTCCTCTTCAACAACATAATGATCAGGTTTGGTACCTCCAATATAATCATCACTGACCATGGAACACAGTTCGATTGCAGGCCATTCGAAAATTTCTGCGCCAGGAACCGCATCACATGCAGAATGGCCTCAGTCGCCTTCCCGCAATCCAATGGGCAGGTGGAGTCGTCTAACAAACTCATCCTCAGGGGTCTGAAAAGGCGGCTCAAGAAAGTCAAAGGAGGATGGACCGCCGAATTACCACACGTGCTCTGGGCGCATCGTACAAACTACAAGAGAGCAACCGGAGAAACCCCATTCGTCCTGACGTATGGCTCCGAGGCGGTTGCTCCCACCGAGGTCGTTCTGCCCTCGCTAAGGGTCCAGACATACGATCCAGAGGAAAACCACAAAAAGCTCCTCCACAGCTGGACATGATAGAGGCAAGGAGAGACGCGGCCCTGGTGAGAACCATACAGGAAAAGCTCAAAGTTGCCAAAATCTACAACGAGAAGGTGAAGCCTCGCCCGCTTGAGGAAGGAGACATGGTGCTCAAGAGGAATTTCGAGCAAAAAGAGGGGCATGGCATATGGGAAGGACCGTTCCTGGTAGCGGAAAAGTTAGGGACCGCCACATACGTGCTAGCTACCATGGAGGGGCAGCCAGTAGCCAAGACCTGGAATGCTATTCACCTAAGGAAGTACCACAGCGAGTAAAGAAGAGTAGGCCGTAGGAATTTTGTAAGAAGTCGACGCCGCAGTTAAAGGCGCTTTTGTGAGAGTTTGGTAGTCAACACTCCTGTCAATGACTTCAGTAATTCAAGTCGCCACTGAGCGATATGTTTTTATGTTACCAATCTAAGTTATTCTCATAACTCTTGACTGCTTAACACAGCTGCTAACTGCACGCATGCACCCGCGGGGCTTAACCGCCCCAGAGAATAGTTACGCACGCCTCAAACTTAAGCACAAAACCGTGTCACACATGGCATCCGGGAAACTCCCTGAAGTTCCTAACTTAAACAATAAGGGCCCATGTCTCAAACTCAGACAGGAGCTATGTCCCCAACTCGGACAGGAGCTATGTCACACAATAGGACTCCCCGAAGTTTCACAAAAGAAGTATCACCCCACAGCTGGTAAACCGCCCCAGAACGATGCGAAGCGGTTGCAACGTAAGGATCGAAACGCGCCGCAGATCCGCACAGCGCTAGGACTAACCGCTAAGCCGCCCCAGCGACAGAAGTCCAAAGGGCGTCTCTCCTCTTCAAGCGTGCTTCCCCAACGAGGGAAAAGGAAGAGGAAGCACAGACAATAAAAACCGCAAGTAAAGAATTCTAAGCATGTGAAGAATAGGAAGAAGGAACATAAGCATCATCCAAAGTAAAATATTACAAAACCTCGCCAGAAGGTGGAATGTATCAAGCGCCCCAAAGGGAGAAAGCAAGTGAAAGCAATAGAAAAGAACACTTGGTTAAATAGTCAGGAAACTAAGAGGAGCCGCCTTCGGTGGGAGCGGGCTGGTTCACTTCTTCCCCAGTAGTGGTCGCAGCGGCCGTGGGCTGGGTCTCTACCTCGGAGTTGACATCATGGTCACCCCAGAATTCCACCGCGTCCCAGACCGCATTCCGATCTCAGACCACGTACGGGTGCTCGCGGCGAAAAAGGTGGCGGATGGAAGCTACCGTATCCCGCAGCAGCTTCTGATACTTGGCTTCATCCACCGCCTTGAACTCATCCGAGTCAAAGAAGGATGCGCGAGCGTCCTCCCTAGCCTCGTCGAGTTCACGTTCTCGCCGCGCCTCCAGATCAACCACCCTGGCCTCCAACTCATTCACCTTGTCTTGCAGCCCTTTCTCCCGCTCGGACGCCTTCCGCACCTTCTACTGAGCGCCCTCCAGCTCTCGAGCTCTTTTCGCTAGATCCTCCTTGGCGGTCTGCAGCTCGACATCCTTCACTTTCAAGGTTGCCTCATGCTCCTTGAGGATCTCGTCTCGCAACTCCTGGCGGAAACCCTCGCGCCCCTCTTTCACCTGCTCCTCAAGTTTGAGGATTTTGGTATCGCGGTCGCCCAAGTCATCGAGCAGGCGCTCGTTAGCCAGAATAAGTTGACTTATCCCGAATTGAGCCTGCATCCACAAAGCCAGTCAGTACCATACACCTATCGAACAGCGGAATTGAGAACAAGTTAAGTCACTCACCGCGAAGAAGCATCGAGCGGTTGTCCCAGCCAGATGACGAGTATCAGAAGTTGTGGGGATGGCGCCCCCGACACACATATACTCGCTGGGAACTGCGAACCCTTCGGCAATCACATGAAGGGCGCGGCGAGCCGGCTCAGCCGAAGAAGTCGCGTGCGGTGAGTACGCCACACTGGAGGAAAGCGTGGTGGTCTTCTGCTTCTTATGGGTGACTGGCGGCTCGGAACACTGGTCAACCATGATGCCCTTCAACTTGGGCTGATTCCCCGAGGGCGGCTCGTTCCGCACCTCCACCACATCCAGCGGGCGCTTGGTCGCGGCTCGAGCCGTGCCCTGCCCGCTGGGGACGGTCAGTTTAAGGGTGCCCCAGCGCCCCAGCGCCAGCTGCGATTGGGTGGAACCGCCCCCGGTTTTAGGACCCTCCGAACCGATAGGACCGGAGACAACGGCCGCAGGAGAACCGCTCGCTGCTGCCTTAGGCGGCCTCGCCGAAGACGCGTAACGTCGGATACCTGAAAAGTGAATACATAAGTAAAAGCATGAGCAAGCTACGTCCCATCAAAGTCTAGGAGAACTAACTAACCGTGAAAACGCTGCACAATCTCAAGAGCGTTATCATGCCCATGCGGGGGCAACCGAAACTGGACAATCGAAGTGATGCGGTTGAGATGCGGTCTCAGATGTTGCAGCTGCTTGACCCCTTCGTCCCAATCATCTGTCTGGCCAAAGGAAAACGCAGTCAATGGCTCCACGTCCCCCGAGTACCATTTCCCGGCCGGGCGAGCAAAGAAGTACTCACTGTACCAGGGGGAGTCCAGCTTTGGGGACCCATAGACGAACCCGACATTCTTCGACCGCCTTCGGGGTGACCAGCAGTTCTTCGAACCAGTCATGGCAATCAGAGAGGTAGTCGTGTCAGTTAGCGCGCCCACCCCTAGCCCTTAAATGCAACCGTCAGGTCTATCTACACGCTCACTCACGACAACCGCATTACCACCCCCACACAACAATTCAATACCCTCCGAGCCCCATTCTATGTCGGATAAACTTAAAGGGTTGGAAAAAGCTGGCATACCTGCTCTAGCGGCAGGACCGCCTGCACTGGCGATTTTAGCAGCGGTACGCGCAGCACTAACGCAGACGCGACGGGCGGCGACGTTGCCGGCGGCGGGAGGCGACGCCGTGTCGGAAGCGGTGGTCGTCGCAGCAGCAGAGGCAGTGTTGGTGGCGACGTCGGAAGCAGACGGCGGCGCCGATTCGCCGGAGAGGCCGCAATTCTGGCTGTCGGAAGGAGTGGTCGACTGAGAAGCCATCGCTGACACCTGTTTTCTTTTCTTCTTGTCTCGTTTCTGGGATCTCCTCAGAGAAGAAAGAAACCGATATCGTTCCGCCGGAAGCGAAGGATGAGTCTCCAAATAACGAGAGAGAGAGAGAACTTAGAGCACCGCGCAATTTTGAAATAGATGACAGAGAAAGAGGGAATGCGAAAGTTCCTCTCAACAGAAACACTCGGGGTATATATAGCGGCAAAAGAGACTGATGTGACGGTTGAGTGCCCGAGGGGGAGCTTTAGGCCGCAAAATTCAAAAGCGGGCAGGTGAAAGGACGTTTTGCCTGCCCGGTGTCGGAGCACGGAAACCAATCCACAGCCACGTGTATAAAGTATTTTCGCCTACAAAACCCGCAAGGCGGTTGGAGCACTGCTTAGGCAGGTCAACCCTAGGTCTCCGACGACCAGGGGCAGAGTAGGACAAGGAGGAGGAGCAAACCGCTCAACTAGCTGAGAGCATTATTGGTAGCCGCCAAAACCCTAGGCTTTTCCCGCCTAAGGGGCAATTGTTGGGCCGCATAGTTGAGCGTACTTGGACTTCGGGCCAAGAGAGGCGAGTCAGCAGTTAAGGCCCAATAAGGAGGCCAAGCCCGATCGAAAGACCGGGTCAGCGGGCGGTCCTTGATCAACTACAAACACGAGAAATAGATAAGGGCGCCTAACATAAAGCGACTGAGCAGCACAGAAAGGCAGAGAGCCGTTGAAGATGCGTATCTTGTGTCAGGCAAGACTGAGCATTTATTGCCGGCCACAGGCGGCCTGCAGAAAGTCTGAAAGCCTGCCTAGGACGCCTGACATGACCCAAAAAGCCTGCTCGAGACGCCCGACCAGGCCCAGGCGCCCGACATAGCATTTAATGCCCCAACCACCCTCAAACCAGGTATAAATAGAGGGTGAGTGCATTAATGATAAGACCAACTACTATCCATCTCTCTACATAAATTCTTACCTCTCCCATTCTCTCTCTAACTTAAGCTTCGGAGAGTGTCCCGGGCGAACCGCCCCGGACCGCTGTTTTGCAGAGTATCAGGAGTACATAAATTCTTACCTCTCCCATTCTCTCTCTAACTTAAGCTTCGGAGAGTGTCCCGGGCGAGCCGCCCCGGACCGCTGTTTTGCAGAGTATCAGGAGTACTCCCCTACATCCAAGAACAGGCGCCTCGCCCCAGCTCCGCAAACCGCCTAGTATTTACTAGGCACAAACAAGTCCTTACCACGGTCTACAATACGGAGATATTTCAGCAGGTATTAGGACATAACATGCAAGCTTCAGCACAATCTGAACTATGCAACTTTTAAGAAATCATCAGATAAACCATTCCAACAGACATGCATACATCACAGTACACTGGCCTAAACAAAAAGAAGATTGCAGTTGTATCCCGCGATATTGTGAAGTCTCGAAAATGGACCAGAAGAACTAGCAACATACAACTTTTGAATCTAACTTCACAATAACAAAAATTTCAAGATTGAAAACAGGAACTCCCATCACCCCTTTTGAATTCATGTTCTATATCACCTACAAACCATTTATCATCTGGCCCCGGCAGGGAAAATCCAACAGCGATCTTCTCAGGAATCAACAAACATCGTAAGCCCTTGTCATATGGACCCAACTATTCCATGTTACATATGCAGCCAACTAGGTAAAATATAAGGCCAAGGACATCCTCATCCTTAGTTCCTATCATGGAGTATATTAGAGAGGCCATTCCCTTATCAATTTGCCACAAATCAGAGTGAAGATTTTCATGATCACAGCTATATATAACAAACATACAGCTGAATGAACCTTAAGGTGGAGCATCAGCCATCATGCAACAAATGAACCTCAAGAAGCCAGAAAACAGTCTTTTCCCTAAACTCCCACGCATGTTTCCAACTTGCTCAATGTACAACAAAGGAGAAACTACAAGACTCAGCTAACTGATCCAGTCTAAAAGCAATGGATAGAGTGCATGTCCACATCCTTCCTAGTTACTCATCATTGCATCATCTCATAATTCCCAATGAAAATTCGCCAAAATAGAAATTTTAGACCACTTTATCCTCAACAAAACCCATGAACCTCCTTGACAAGTATGCCAATCCGTTGCTGTACACTTCATAGTTCAGATAGTGTCCCAAGCACAAGAATTGCTTGTATATGGGTTGTACTTCCTGCAAAGTCAAGTTACTAGCCTCCTTTAAGATTTCAAGCTTTGTTCCAAGAAGACACAGCAGGAGTACCTGAGTTCCCACAAAGTTCAGTTACTTGGTTCCCTTTAATATTCAAGGCTAGCAGGAAACACTTAAAAAGTACATCAAATGCAGCCCAACAGCACTCCATCAAATCCAATTGCTCCCGTGTGAACATAACTGAAATTCTTTGCAACACTGGGAAACCTCAGCCTCTTTCTAAGTGTGCTGTCTCCATCAGATGTGAACTTAATAGTGAAATAAAGGATCAACAAATACATAAATACGATAGGGGTCTCATTTTCAGTTCTACACAGCTGGAGTTACACCATAAACTTTATAAAGTATCCAACGTGTAGATCACAGGACATGAGCCAAATCAGTCCTTTTTTCTTTACAACAACTTCTCGTTAACTTCTGTGGCAAGATACTGGGGCCAAGCTTCCCAATCTTGCTTTCTCCATAGTGTACGAACCTCAAAGGTCAAAGCTTAAATCTCCAAATTGCCAACATCCTAGAACAGCCTCTTTCATCATACATAAATTAAGTGGTGACCATCCATTCCGCTTTCTTCAACTACACCCCTTAAGAACCGAAGAGACACTAAAACCATCCGAAAACAATGCCCAATAAAAAAAACACCTCCATTTTGTGCAAACAATCACATGTTGCTGTAAACTAGAGGATTATACTTACATTAGTAATATGATCCTTGACCACCAGAACCCATGTAACCGCTGCTGCTGCCGCCAATCCCACGACTAGAGTACATTGATGAGTAAGAACTACCTCCAACCTACAAGAGTCAGGATTTAGATACAATAATCGAGCGGTTGTCATTTCTATCACAAAGGTGAAAGGCATACATCACTCCCTCGGGACATGCAATCACCACCATAATTCGAAGGGTACAGTCCACCACCATCACTGCTCCCATAAGAACCTGACAATATCATGGTTGATAGTCACTTAACTGTGAGAGGAACACAAGGGGAAGTTTATTAATGCTTCATTGTAGAAAAAGATAACCAACCTCCATAAGTTGTACCATGTCGCCCTCCATACATCCCATGTGAATCATGACTGGACATGGAACTTCTGCCACTCCCATATCCTAAGTTCGATCTGCCAAGTCGACTAATGAAGAGAAAGTCTAAGTGTCTCCACCAATTATCCAGCTCAATAAAAAGAACTACTATCAAACCAAGATACAACAACGGACCTATCACCATAGCCATCCCCATATTGAGAAGAAGCAGGACCGAGTTCATATTCTACACGAGCCCTCGAATGACGAGGGCCAGAATCAGCATAATGTGGAGGAATGTCATCCTTGAAGCCATGGAAAGACCGTGTCATACAGAAACATTTCAGTAATTTGTTGAATGTGAAGAAAACTAGACATATAAGACAATACGGACTAGCAATCAATAACTAACCATAACAGAATAAGGACGTTTTGAACCAGAGAAAGAGTCATAATCACGAGCACGTCCTTCACGATAACTTGGAGGGGGCCTCTCAAATCTCTGAGCATAGGCATCATCCACATAAGCTCTCCTGGCAGATCCACGAGAACTACTTCTAGGAAGTTCAGGGTACCCAGAACCTCGTGAGGAATATTCATCTCTGTAGGATTGACGTCTCTGCGGAATATCCCTGGAACCATAATCAATGGCAGCTCGGCTTCTTGGCGGTGGTACTTCATCACGGCGAGTATATTCCCTTTTCAAGCTACTCTTCGGGTATGATGGAACTGAAGAATATAAGCAATCGTCATTAAGTATTTAGCGGAGTCTGAACAAAAATAGAACAAAGGAGCTGAATTGATACACACCAGGTGCCCTTCTATCATAGGACCGAGGGGGACGAGCCAGAGGCCTGCTTCTTGCTGGTTGAGACATCACAGGGGCACGGCGTTCACGCAATCCAGCATGCCTTTTGGCAGAGGGTGGCGGTATATGATTTCCAGTCATTCTCACCGAACGGGATGGAAGGCTACGTGGTGCAGACCGAACCCATGGACCCCTGCTGCTAACTCTACCAGTTCCGTGTCCAGGACGAACATCTCTACGGCTTGAATGTTTCCCTTTTCCCCTCTGAAGAGGCCTTGACAACCGAGCCCTAACTTTAGCCTGATAAATAAGACCACAATGAAAGCTTTCAGAAGCTAAACCATCAAATGGTTAATGCTCAAAAACAGTAAACGCAAGGAGTGCTACAAACCTTATTCTCTCCTTCCCCAAGATCTTCATTGTTAATACTTTTAGCACAGGTTACTGCAGCCTCGTGACTGTCAAAGGTGACAAAACCAAAATCTTTCCGCTTGGCTGATGGCATGTTTCTAGCAAGTTCAACCTTCCCAATCTTTCCATACACCTTTAATAGTTCCCGGACATAGTCCTCATCCCATGAAGAAGGAAGACCATCAATGAATACAGTCTTGACCTGAATACAAAGAATAAACTGAACATTTTAAAAAATATATGCAGCACCCTGAAGCATGACTGTAACACTTTTCACACTATGAGAGTACAAAAGTAATATAAGAACTTCAAAGCAATGCAAAACTTAAATATGTGGAAGAAAAATAAAAATGTACAAACAGAAATGGTAAGTTCCCACCGTGACAATGCTCGCTTCAATAAAAAGAGAAAGAGCAAACTAAAGGAATTGTTGGCTAACTAGATTCTTATCACCATAAAAGGTAAAAACCGTAGTGTAGTTATGTTAGCTAACCCAGCCATGGTTGAATGCGTACTTCAGAACAGTTGTGTGAAGGATACCTGTGCCATTATTTCATCCCCCGGGTCAATGAAGGAATCAGCAAAAGAGACTTTTGCTGGCCTATCAACTCCAAATAAAACATCCCTCTTCTGCAGACGCTTAAAGGCATCCATGGCCTCTGACCGACATGAGAATTCCAGAAAAGCAAACCCTCGGTTCGTCCCTTCACTGTTACTATCTTCAACCAGGGTCAAGTCCTCAACATTATCAACTCCATAATGTTTCAATTTCTGTTTCAACTGGAAGCAAATTCAATGGCCACATATCAGGAGCATATCACTTTCCTTATTCCTGGTCAAGAAAACTTGAAACACTGACAGCTACCTCCTTAAATATGCCCAATATACTTACAGCTTCTTTTGTCCATGTCTTGCAGATGTTACCCAAGAAAAGGGTGTCACTGTCTTTACTAGGACTAACACCACAATGTTTCCCGTTAATCTGGAAGCGCAATCATTAAAACGTAATTTAGGTTGTATAGCAAATTTGCATGACATTTAAAAAATCACATATGAAAATTACCACTGGATTCTTCAACTCATTAACAGCCCGTTTGGCTTGTTCAACACTAGAAAACCGCAGGAATGCAAAACCTTTGTTTTTCTTTGTCTGGGGATTCATCATCAGTCGCACTTCAGTGATCTCACCAACTCGACCGAAAACTTTCCGAAGATCGCTTTCAGTGGCATCCTTATCCAGACCACCAACAAAGACCTCAAACTCCTTACGCTTGCGCCTCTCCTTAAAAACTTCATGGTGCTCATCCTCTTCAGTTGCATCCATCTCAATATGTTCTTCACCAGCATGCTCATCATCCTCTTCAACCTCAACTTCTTCAGGAACCTCCTCCAGTTCCTCCTCCTCGACCAGATCATCCTCCTCTTCCTCTCCATTATCTTCATCTAGCTCTTCCTCTCCTTCCTCCCCAACCCCTTGGTCATCATCTTGATCAATTTCCTTATCATCGTAGTATTCACCACCATATTCTTCAGGTTCGTATTCAGGCTCATTATCATCAAGCTCTAACCGTTCGTCCTTTTCATAATCCTCAACAGACTCTTTCGCTTCTTCACCTTCTGCCAGGAAAAAGGGTTGTTGGCCCAGTGATTTCAAAAACACAATTCTCAGTTCCGATCTAGGACGGATGTCATATCCTTTAGTGAACTTCGGATTTAGGGAAGGCCCAAAACCAACAAGAATCGGCTGGAGCTCGTAATACAGAAGCAATATGGAGACTAAAATTGGGTGCTAGCGGAAATCAGGCAGATGGGAATGTAAAACGGAAGACTTCAGCGATTGATGCACATAGAAGCGCATGTTACGGAATGTAAAACCGCAATCAGGATCGTAGCCAATTCAGCCATAACGAGGGACATGGAAGAAAAGAGATAAAGGTACATACTTTTCAAGGACGACAAGCTCTTAACGTCCGATTTGGAACCATCATCAGCAGGCTTTTCTTCAACGACCGGCTTGCTGTCAACCTCCAGCTTCTCCTGGACAACAGGCTTGTCATCGATGATTGTCCCTTCCTCTATCTTGAGTACCTCTTCGGCAGCTTCGGGATGCTGATTCTGGGACTTGCTGGTACCTCGCGCGGCTCTACCGCCCCTCTTAGATCCAGATGCCGCAGCTCCGCGCTTCACGATTCGTGGAGGCATCGTTTGTTTCAGGCTTCCAAACGATCTAACTGGCTATAGATTTTCGCACCTAAAACCCTAAAGCCTTGAAATAAGATGAATAAGAATTAGGAAGCGTGTGTAATGTCGGGAATTGTTTCCAGCAGAAAGACAAACCCTAATTCAATCCAAGATGGTAATTTGCTGTTTTTCCCCCCGATTATTTTCTCGTTTTGTGTACCTTAGATCTTTTTATCAGGTTGTTAAAGAGGTTTCGACATTGCCAAATGTAACATAGGGGTGTTCAAACGGTTTGGTTACTGTGGTAATTGTTTTAACCGGTACTATTTGGATAATTTGGTTTGGTTAATTTGGATAATTGGTTTGGTTTGGTTAAAGTTTTTAGCTTGTTTGGTTTAGGTGGTTTTGGTTTGGTTTCAGACACTCCTAACCAGTCAAAACAAATTAACCAGTTAAGTAATTAGTCATATATCTAACATATATTATATACACAAAATACTTTGCATAACCACTCAAGAGTTAACGTTCATCCCTTTTAGACTCATAAAATATAAAGCTCAATATTGCTCATATAGTGTATATTTGTATATGTAAAGTCTAGACCACAACATATGGAAGTTGCGATTGTTAAATATATGTATTGTTGAGAATGCATGTATAATATTATACATGTATTGTCGAATTTGATGCATTGTAGAATACAACGTTTGGTATGTGTGATTGTGTATGTCGAATCAGCTAAAAGCTGAGACAAAACAATCTCAACTCAACTATCTCAACAATCACAACTAAAAGTTGAGATATAACAATCACTCAAAATGAGTGATAGTTTTTGTCACATCACAAAAACAATTCATGTATTGTTTCTGCTAAAAAAAATATGCATTATAAACAATACATGCATAATGACAATCTCAACAAAACAATCGCAACTTTCAAACGACCCCTTAAGTATTGCGTTTTGCATTATTTATGATTGCCTGGTAGAGGAGGTCACTACATTTTATGTGTTTCCATCATTCTTCGTTCCAAGTGTGATCCCTCCTTCTCTTTCCTTGCTTTTATTTATATTTCCTATCTCTCTCCTATTGGTATCTGCTTCTTCTCATCTTTCCTCTATTGGCAAAGTAGGGGTAGTGATGTCAATGGGTATGATCGATGGCGGATAGTGACTATCCATTATCCTACATAATTAATTAGTTCAAGTTTTATTCATACTCATAATCATGTAAAATTCAGGTAGTAAATTTAAATCATCCTCATATCCAATCGGGTTTTCGGGTATCCAAGGATATCCACAAATAATAACTTTCTTTATCTTCTCAACTAAAAGTCAGTCGTACATTGTATGCCCGTCGAGTTTTACTATTTAGAGCAGGAATTTACCGAAATTTTGGGCATGATACTATACCCTAACCTCTAATGGATAAACCCGGTCACTAATTCTCTAACCCAAGCCACAAGATTCATATAATCTAAAAAATAATAACCGACGGTTCTAATTCAGCGAAATATATTGAAGTGCAAAAACCAAGTATGAACACAGGCGTACAGCGTACGACTGACGTACGCTAGCCTTTGCCATATATATATGGTGCCTTCTACCGTACCCCGGATGAAATCTGGGGTACCGCATACCTTGAGTATGAAAACACTATCTAGACCTCGAATTAGCAGGATTTTTGGGCATGATACTATACACTAACCCTTAATGAGTGAACCCTAGGTCCTAATTATCTAAATCATAAACTATAAACCCTAAGATGGTGCATTGATTTTTTTGCCTATATTTGGACAAATCATAACCATTGATTATTGTTTCTAATTAATTAATCTCGGGGTATAAGATTTAGAGAATTAAGACCTAGATTTTGATCTTCAAGGGTTAGAGTATTGTATCATGTCCAAAAGTTCAATCAATTCAAGATCTAGATAGCGTTTTCTTACTCAAGGTATGCGGTACCCGAGATTTCACCCTGGGTACCGTAGAACTCCCCATATATATGTATATATATGGTGGCTACTTCGGTGCACTCACTTTCAACTCTAAAAGCGTCCATATACATCAAATTTTGAACTTTAATTAGTACTCTCAATATAATATGATGATATGACATAGAATCATAACAAATCAATCCATTACCCTAACCCCTTAACCTTCAATTTTGAATCCCAACTCAAAATCCCAAATTGTAAACCTAAACCCTAACCCTAAATCCCTAAATTCTAAATCCTTCGAATTAAAGTAAATTTTGAATGAATTTTTTTCAAATTCATGTGCTTCTTGTTCATAATATCATAAGCAACAATTGATATCATTTTGACATGAATCGCATGGTCAGAATGACAATTATGAGGCGGGTGCACTGAGTGCACCCGAAAAAGTGGGTGCTCCGAATACGACACCATATATATATATATATATATATATATTAATATTATAGAAACACTAGTTCATGAAATGCTACAAATATACTATAAATACTAAATATGTTAAAATAAAAATTGATATGATTTATACAAAATATTGTATATGCATGTATAATCGGGCGAGCTCAGTTTGGATAGTGAGAAATCCATACCCACACATCATTAGTGACATTCGGGTTTGGATTTTACACACACTATCTGGTATTTTATTGGGCTAATACCCAAACTATAAAAAATGTCATTTGTGTCCTAATTTATTCAATATTCCATTCATATCCCGAGGTATGATATTTTGTGACATTTTCATCATGAAATTTTCGTTGACCGTTAAAGATAACAGTTGATCAGACGGTGGTCAAAGTGATGTTGACTTTTGTTGATGTGGCAAAAATCAAACAGCCACATAGACGCCCCATCATTGCCACATGGATGATTTTTAATAAAATTTAAATAATATATAAATAATATTATAATATATATAAATAAAAAATCAAAATAGAAATTAAATTTTGCTAACTTATCTTCCTCCATCGTGCACATCATCTACCACTGTACATTTTTTCGTTGACCGTTAAAGATAATAGTTGATCAGATGGTGGTCAAAGTGATGTTGACTTTTGTTGATGTGGCAAAAATCAAACAGCCACATAGACGCCCCATCATTGCCACATGGATTATTTTTAATAAAATTCAAATAATATAAAAATAATATAATATAATATACATAAATCAAAAATCAAAACAGAAATTAAATTTTGCTAACTTATCTTCCTCCATCGTGCACATCATCTACCACCGCACATTTTTTCGTTGCCCGTTAAAGATAACAGTTGATCAGACGGTGGTCAAAGTGATGTTGACTTTTGTTGATGTGGCAAAAATCAAACAGCCACATAGACGCCCCATCATTGCCACATGGATTACTTTTCATAAAATTCAAATAATATAAAAATAATATAATATAATATATATATAAATCAAAAATCAAAAATCAAAACAGAAATTAAATTTTGCTAACTTATCTTCCTCCATCGTGCACATCATCTACCATTGTACATTTTTTCGTTGACCGTTCAAGATAACAGTTGATCAGACGGTGGTCAAAGTGATGTTGACTTTTGTTGATGTGGCAAAAATCAAACAGCCACATAGACGCCCCATCATTGCCACATGGATTATTTTTAATAAAATTCAAATAATATAAAAATAAAATAATATAATATATATAAATCAAAAATCAAAACAGAAATTAAATTTTGCTAACTTATCTTCTTCCATCGTGCACATCATCTACCACCCCAACCACCACGACTTCACCATCCTCGTCGATACATCATCGCCGTCAACATCAACTCCAAAACCCCAACAAAAAACATCTTTGCCTACAAATCCAATAGAACATTTTGATGTTCATGGTGGCGATAGATCTGGACCGAGAGAGAGAAAGAAATAGAGAAAGGAAGAATCTGGGGCGGATCTAGGAGAAATAGGGGCAACGGCGAATTTGGTTTTGTGGTCAAGAGAGGCGAGAGTTCCCTTCAAGGAGCGAGGAGAAGAGTACATTGCGGCCAGCAGGTGAGGGGATGGCAGGTTGCGGAGTGAGGAGGAAACGAAGGCCAGAACCCCCGTCGCTTTTGAACTTCCTCCACCAGTCATGCACAACTTTTATTTCTCGATTTTTGGCCGAAGGATTCCGTCGGTAAATCCGACGATTATGTATGCACTTGCGTTCATACATCAAGACCTCGACCCTAGTCATTTCAACATGCATTTCTACCTAAACACCTCTAGTTTCTACATTGTAACACTTAAGTGTGGGGGTGTATAAAGTGAACCTAAGGATAGATTTTGTTGTTTAATTGATTACGTGAGTTGTCTAATGGTTTGTTAAAACATGCTTTGTGATTTTTCTCTTCTAATGGTGATCCAGCCGAGAGTTGGAGTGCTAGTTCTCTTAGCTCTCAACAACGTAAAAACCGGAACCGCCCATGATGAGAAGGACCACAAATTCCAAAAGAGGAACCATAACCTCAAATTGAGAAGCAACCGCAACAAGCACAACAAAGCAACCAATGGAGGCGACTACGAGTTATGATGGACCATCTCCGCAAGAAAGAGTCTCTAGTGTGCAACTACCATATGCACCAACCGCGCATCAAAGACAACTGGGCTTCTAGGGTCCAATTTCTATCCTTTTCTTTTTCCTTGCTTTTCTTTATTTCAATTAAAAAAATGTTTAATTATCGCTTTATGTTCATTTTACCTTTTGTACCTTAAATATTCTATCAACTAGTATCTTTTCTTGGCGAACTCCCACATTGAGGACAATGTGTTGCTCAAGTGTGTGTGTGCCCCCCCCCCCCCCCCGGGGTGGATGTTTGTGCATGTTTGAATGTTTATCATTATTGGTGCAACCGTTTATTGTTAGTAACCTCCCTTGTTTGTGAATGTAAGACGTTGATGAATGCTTATGGGAGTGTATGCTAGTGATCATGCCTTTGTTGTGGTGATGAATGGTGAAATATTAGTGTTTTTAGAACCTCGAATGCACACCCAAGTTTTTTCAAATTTGAGGGTTCCCAAACACCTTGTCCTTGCAATTACCTACTCGATGCACTTTTATTTGATTAGATTGATTGATGTGTTTTGCATCTTAGGTGATAGTTGCATGGTTTGAGTATCGATACGTGAGGAATTTTACTGCTTTCCTCCTCTAGTGTGAGTCGATAGTTTTTGCTATCTTAGGAAGGCATTGTCTGCGGGATTCTCTTCTTTTATGTGAAC